TAGAGCCCAGTCGGGTTCTAGCTTGTGTGGTTTCCCGGTCTTCCTTATTTGATCGTATCAGGGAGCGGCAGTATGATGACCCTCATTTGCTTGTCCTTCAGGACAAGGTTCAGCGTGGAGATGCCAGGGATGTGACCATTGGAGATGATGGAGTATTGAGGATGCAGGGCCGGATTTGTGTGCCCAATGTTGATGGTTTTCGAGAGATGATTCTAGCAGAGGCCCATAGTTCGCGATATTCCATCCATCCGGGTGCCGCGAAGATGTATCAGGACCTGAGCCAGCACTACTGGTGGAGGCGGATGAAGAAAGATATAGTTGGCTATGTGTGTAGATGCCTCAACTGCCAGCAGGTGAAGTTTGAGCACCAGCGCCCGGGTGGGTTGCTCCAGCAGATAGAGATTCCGGAGTGGAAATGGGAGCGCATCACCATGGATTTTGTATCTGGACTTCCATGGACCTTGAAGAAGTTTGATTCCATTTGGGTTATTGTGGACCGGCTGACCAAGTCCGCTCATTTTATTCCTGTGTGTACCACTTATTCATCGGAGCGGTTGGCGGAGATTTATATCCGGGAGATCGTCAGTCTGCATGGTATTCCAGTTTCTATCATTTCGGACAGAGGTACTCAGTTTACATCGCGGTTCTGGAGAGCCGTGCAGCAGGAGTTAGGTACTCGGGTGGAGTTGAGCACAGCATTTCACCCCCAGACGGACGGACAGTCCGAGCGCACTATTCAGATTCTTGAGGATATGCTCCGTGCGTGTGTGATTGAGTTTGGAGGGTCTTGGGATCATTTCTTGCCACTGGCGAAGTTTGCTTACAACAATAGTTATCAGTCCAGCATTCAGATGGCGCCGTATGAGGCTTTATCTGGAAGGAGGTGTAGATCCCCGGTGGGTTGGTTTGAGCCGGGTGAGGCCAGGCTATTGGGCACAGAGTTAGTACAGGATGCATTGGAGAAGGTCACGATTCAAGATAGACTCCGTACAGCCCAGTCCAGACAGAAGAGCTACGCGGACAGGAAGGTTCGTGATGTTTCATATATGGTCAGTGAGCGGGTTCTGCTTCGGGTCTCGCCTATGAAAGGCGTTATGAGGTTTGGGAAGAAAGGAAAGTTGAGTCCGAGATTTATTGGCCCTTTTGAGATCTTGAGGCGAGTTGGGGAGGTTGCTTACGAGCTTGCCTTACCTCCCAGTTTGGCCGGAGTTCATCCGGTATTTCATGTTTCGATGCTCCGGAGGTATCACGGCGATCCGTCGCACGTGTTGGATTTCAGTTCAGTCCAGTTGGACAAGGATCTATCCTATGTTGAGGAGCCAGTGACTATATTGGACGGGCAGATCAAGAAGTTGAGGTAAAAGAACATAGCTTCAGTGAAGGTTCAGTGGCAGGGTCAGCCGGCCGAGGAGGCAACTTGGGAGACCGAGCAGGATATGCGCAGCAGTTACCCTCATCTTTTCACTACTTCAGGTATGTTCTCTATGCTTGTTCGAGGACGAACGAATGTTTAAGTGTAGGAGGATGTGACGACCCGGCCGGTCGTCTTAAGTATTTACGCCCCGATCCCCCATTAACTGCTTCCCCTAAGTTCATTTCCGCTATTTTGGTTTGCCAGGACGTTCGGTGTTGAGTTTCGGAGAGCTTTGGGACACTTAGTCCCCAAATGAGAGCTTAAGTGTTGCAAAGTGGTCCGTAGTCGGAACAGTGTGAAGACGACCTCGGAATGGAAATCCGATGGTTCTGTTAGCTCCGTTAGGTGATTTCGGGGTTGGGAGCGTGTTCGGAATGTATTTTGGAAGTCCGTAGCTCATTTAGGCTTGAAATGCCGAAGTTTGAATTTTATAAGTTTCCGGTCCGATAATGAGTTTCTGATCCGAGGGTCGGATTTGGAATTACGGAAGTTACAGTAGTTTCGTCATGCCATTTGGGATGTGTGTGCGAAATTTCAGGTCATTCGGACGAGGTTCGGGCAGGTTATTGATCGAAAGCGTGTTTTGTTGGAATTTGAAGTTCTTAGGCTTGAATCCTTGATTAATTCGGGTTTCCGGCGTTGTTTTAGGTGTTTTTATGATTTTTACAAGTTTGAATAAGGTATTAGGTGGTATTGGTGCTTTTGGTTGAGGTCCCGGGGGCCTCGGGATGATTTCAGGTGGTTAACAGATGAATTTTGAAGTTATTGCAGCAGCTGAATGTCCCTCTTCTGGTATTTTTGCATCTGCGGCTTGGGAACCACAGACGCGGTGCCGCAGAAGCGGCTGTGTGGCCGCAGAAGCGGCTTGTCTCCTTTTTCCTCAAAAACCGCAGAAGCGGTGCCATTTCCGCAAAAGCGGCTTAGGCATCGCAAAAGCGGAGCCGCAAAAGCGACCCAGCTATCGCAGATGCGGCCCTGTTCCCTTTAGTGAAAACCGCAGAAGCGGCTTGGTTTCCGCAGAAGCGGGACCGCAGAAGCGGTCCCTTGTCCGCTCCCTTGTCCGCAGAAGCGGAAAGCGGAAATCCCTGGGCAGAAATAGAAATTTCGAGGGTTTGAGTTCATAAGTTACAAAAATCAATTGAGAACTCGGGAGAGGGCGATTTTGAGTGGGTTTTGAAGAGAAGATTATTGGGTAACGTTTCCTTAATCTCTTCTAGTTATATTTCATCATTTTGTAGTTAAATCCATCATTAAAAATTCGAATTTGGGACTAAAATTTGAGGAATTTGGTTAAAACTTCCTAGGCCAAACTTTTGGATTTTGAGTGGGCATTTGACCTCCGATTTGGGAGATTTTTATATGGTTAGACTCGTGAGAGTCGAGGGTTCTGAAAATGTTAAAATTATTCGATTCCGAGGCGTTGGCCTGAAGGGCATTTTGGTCATTTCACCTAATTTTACGCCGTAGCTTTGAATTTAATAGCAAAACCAGGTGTTTGTGATGTTATTTACAATGTGTAATTGAATTGAATAGATTTGAGCCATTTGGAGTCGGATACTCGTGGCAAGAGCGTGGTTTCTAGTTGATATTGAGCCGGTTTGAGGTAAGTGGCTTGTCTAACTTTGTGTGGGGGACCTTTCCCCTTAGGACATGATCTTTGAATATTTGAGTGCCTCGTACGTGAGGTGACGAGCGCGTACTTGAGCTAATTGTTGTAAACCCGTTTCTACTTGAAGTATTTAAATTGAGATTTCCTGTTTACTTGTTCATTTTAGACTGTAAGTTTATACTTGTGCTAGCTTAGAGACGCATGTTTAGCTGGCTTACTTGCTTATTTGTTTAGCTGTACTATTTGTACTCTGTGAAGCATGTTAGGCTAGAATTTACTATTACTTGTCCTGATTTTAGCATTTATTCTGAGATTATGGGTTGTTGTTGTTGTGTGTTTAATTTGGGACTACGGGACGGCTTCCCGGGAGATCCCCTGTACTTGAGATATTCTGGACTGAGGGTGCGGGATACCAAGAGATCCCTGGCACATGTGTTTCTATATATATTGGGATACCAAGAGATCCCCGGCTTACTTATTGAGGATACCAAGAGATCCTCGGGATACCAAGAGATCCCCGGCTATTATTGAGGATACCAAGAGATCCTCGGGATACCAAGAGATCCCCCGACTTACTTATTGAGGATACCAAGAGATCCTCGGGATACCAAGAGATCCCCCGGCTATTATTCCTTGTCTGAGGGCAGTTTTCCTTGTATTGTTACCTTGCTTTCTATTACTATTCTTCCTTATTTACCTGGTTTAGATTCTCGCTGTAGACTTTATTTAAACTGCTTCCGTAATCTCATTATTTATTATGTTTTATCTCAGTAGGGCCCTGACTTTCCTCGTCACTACCCAACCGAGGTTAGGCTTGGCACTTACTGAGTACCGCTGTGGTGTACTCATGCCTCTTCTGCGCATGTTTTTCATGTGCAGATCCAGGTACTTCCTCCCAGGCGTATCATCCTCGTGGTGGAGAGTCCTAGCTGAGACATGAGGTATATCTGCTATGTCCGCAGACCAGGAGTCTCTACTCTATTCCGGCTTTAGCAGATAGTTCCTTTCTTTCCTTTCATGTTGTTTAGACATTCTGGTGTAGAGCAGATTACTACATTCTATTAGCCTGTGTTTCCCGTGAGTTTCCGGGTTTTGGGATTTAGTTGTAGACTTCCGCATATTTTTGAGTTGTATGGGCCAAGTGGCCTTATATACAGTTGTTATTTCCGTATGTTCAGTTTTAATTAATTATTCCGTAAATGTTAATTTGTTATTCCGCACTGTTAGGCTTACCTAGTTGTAGGAACTAGGTGCCATCACGACATGTTCATGGAGGGTGAACTGGGGTCGTGACAACTTATCTTCCAAAGATTTAGGTTTTCTTTTCCTTTCTTTTAGGTTTAAGAGTCCTTACTGTTTTAGCCCGTTTTCATAGATATATTATTTAAGGCGGCTTCACCTTCATCAAAGCAATCTAAATGATGATTTGGTAAATGCATCCTTCTTGTTATAAATATATTATATTATGGATGTTCATTTAGTACTTCGTTGTTAGTAAGCTTCCTGAAGAAGCTTATCCATATGGGACTCCGCCATAAATATGTTTATCTATTTAGTACTCTATTGGAAATAAGCCTCCTAAAGAAGCTTATCACTTCGGTACTTGGTTATGGATAAACATTACCCGCGGTAGAAGATTATCCATACCGGGTACTATAAGCTTATCTTTTCGATACTCCGTTATGGATAAACATTACCCCCAGTTGAAGATTATCTATATCTGGTACAGTAGCAGCTTACACAGCAGCTTGTAGTAGCATCTTACATAGCAGCATGCTTGCTTCTATAAATAGAGGAGATTTCAGTTTATTATGTACATAAATTTGAAGTTGATAATATATCAGTTTCTCTCTATACTTTTCTTTAGTTTATTTACTTTACAGTCGTTATTTTACAACACGTTATCAGCACGAGACTCTGCTATCTTGAGCAAATACTTTGAAAGTATCTGAGGTACGAACTTTTTTTTTCTAAATAATGTCAAATCTTTATAAACTTGAATTTGCAGCCCTGGATATATCGGGCAAAAGCTACATGTCTTGGGTGCTTGATGCTGAAATTCATCTTGATGCGATGGGTCTGGCAGACACTATCAAGGATAAAAATCAGGCATCAAACCAAGATCGTTCCAATGCAATGATATTCCTACGCCATCACCTTGATGAGGGCCTGAAAATGGAATATCTCACTATTAAAGATCCAGTCATACTGTGGAATAATTTGAAAGATAGATATAGCCACCTGAAGAAGGTCGTTCTTCCACAGGCACGTTATGATTGGACTCATCTATGGCTACAAGATTTTAAATCTATAAGTGAGTATAATTCTTCTATGTTCAGAATTATTTCCCAATTGAAATTATGTGGTGATAATATTACTGATCATGATATGTAGGAGAAAACTTTCACCACTTTTCACGCCTCGAATATGCTCCTGTAGCAGCAATATCGAGAGATGGGATTTAAAAAGTATTCTGAACTTATCTCACATCTTCTTATAGCCGAGGAACATAGTGGACTATTAATGAAAAACCATGAAAGCCGACCTACTGGTTCTTCTCCGTTCCTTGAAGTGAATGAGACGAACTTTCACCAAGCTAAACGTGGAAGAGGTCGTGGCCCCAGTCGTGGTCATGGCCGTGGTCGGGGAAGAAACTCTAATCATGGTAATAATAATGCACAAAAGAACCCTCCTCACCACCAGCAGTGGAAAAGGAAGGAACAAAAGCATGAAGCGGTGTAAGCACCAAATGCAGAAAATACATGCTATAGATGTGGAGGAAAAGGGCACTAGTTACGTACCTGCCGTACGCCAAAGCACCTGGTTGAGCTTTATCAAGCCTCCCTGAAGAAGACAGAGAAAAATGTTGAAGCAAATTTTATTTCTGAAGATAATTTAGACTTTATACATTTGGATGTAGCTGATTACTTTGCACTCCCAGAAGGAGAAACAAGTCATGTAATCGGTAGTGAATCTGTAGAAATGTAAATATTTTAATTTTTGTTGTTTGTAATAGATAGTATGGTTATGTAATTGTTGTACATAAATAAAAGTTATGCTTTGATAATGATGTTTACTATATTATATTTTATTTATTTTATTTTGAAGAATATGGATAATTCTCAAATTATGTTTGGATCAAAGACAAATCATGAAGATATTTGTGTTATTGATGGTGGAACAACTCATGCCATATTCAAGGATCAGAAATACTTTTCTTATTTGCATAAGGAAAAAGCAAATATTTCAACAATTTTTGGTAATATAAGTTTGATTGAAGGCTCCGGAAGAGCCATTATATTTCTCTCTAAGGGAACAAAACTTATTATAGACAATGCATTGTTCTCCTCCAAGTCCCGAAGAAACTTGTTGAGTTTTATCGATATCCGCCGAAATGGTATCATGTTGAGATAATAGATGAAATGAACATGGAATATCTTTGTATTACAAAGAATATTTCTGGCCAGAAATGCATTGTAGAAAAGTTACTGTAACGACCCGACCGGTCGTTTTGCTTTTTAGAACCCTGTTCCCCTAAATAAAAATTTCCGTCCTTGCTTTAACTAATTTACGACTTGCGGGGATGGTTGGTTCGGGATTTGGAAGAATTTGGGTTGATATATGCTCATTTGATTCCTTAAGAATTTCTTAAAAGGCTAAGTTTGACTTTGGTCAACATTTTTAGCAAACGGGCCCGAATTCGTGTTTTGACGGTCCCGGAGGGTCTGGAGGAAAATATGGACCTGGGCGTATGCTCGGAATCGAATTCCGTGGTCCCTAGGCCGAGTAATGAATTTCTATTAGAAATTGTTAAACTGAAATTCTAAGGATTTAAAGAAAACTAATTAATGATTTATCACATTGGTATTGGGCTCGTATGTTGGTTCCGAAGCCCAGTACAAGTCCAATATAACATTTAAGACTTGCCCGCAAAATTTGGTGTCAATCCGAGTAGTTTAAGGGTGTTTCGTCTCGTTAGAGGAAAATTAAGAACTTGAAGTTCATAAGTTTGATTCAATTGGTTTTAGGGAGTGATTCTTAGATTTAGCATTGTTTCAGGCGTTCCGAAGGTTCGAGTAGGTCCGTTTCATGATTTCAGACTTGTCGGTATGTTCGGGCGGGGCCTGGGAGCCCCGAGCGTCAATCGGACGAGGCTCGAGTGAAGTTGGAGTTTTTGAGAAGTGCTGAAGCATCTGCTTCTGTCATAAACACACCTACGTTCGGTTGACCGCAGAAGCGGTCCACCTATCGCAAATGCGGCCCAGGGTAGGCCAGGCCAAAACCGCAGAAGCGGCTTCCAAGCCGCAGAAGCGGCTTCGAGATCGCAGAAGCGATCACAGCCCGCTTGGCCGGTTCTGCAGGTGCGCACGATTTCTCGCAGAAGCGGGACCGCAGATGCGGTCCCCTGACCGCAGATGCGGAAATCGTTGAAGCAGTGAGCTTCATTTAATACGGGCTCTAAGTCATTTTTGCCACTTTTCACTCCTCCATTGGCGATTTTGGGAGCTTTTAAGAGAAGACTTCCCCCTAGCATCTTGAGGTAAGTTTATCCCACCTATTCTTAGTTTAATACTTGTGTCTTAGGTAGATTAAACACTAGAATTTAGGTAAAATCAAGGGGTTAGAGCAAAACATAGGGTTTTAACAAAAGTTAGATTTAACCACGAAAATTGTTATGAAATGGATTAGAAATAGTATATTATTGATCCTTAGGTTGTAGAGAACAACTTCCTTCGAAAAATCTCGGAATCCGGGCACGTGGGCCCGGGGTCGGATTTTAGGAAACTTGTGTTAATGATTGTGCAATTGCTTAAATAGCTGGAATATTATCTTGTAAGCTCGTATTGACTAGTTCCTACCACGTTTATCTAGTTTTGGATCGTTTGGCTCCAAGTTGAGAGTTTGGGCTCGTTCTTGGTATTGGAAGTGCACTTTGGAGCAAGGTGAGTCTCCTATCTAACCTTGTAAGAGGGAATTGTCCCCCTAGGTGATGTAATCTAATAATTTGCTATTAAATGCGGGGGCTACGTACGCACTAGGTGACGAGAGTAGCTACTATTGTGCTAAGTCCGGGTAGCTTAGGGCCCAAAAACATGATTTATGTGATATTCTTGAAATTCTATGTTTAATTTGGATTGCTTAATCGTGGTGTTTATGGTAAATGAGATTAATTGAGAGGAACATGACCATTCTTGGCCTTTAAAGGAGAAGATGATAATTCAATGAGTAATTGTTCCCCAGTTATATGTTATTGTTTGTCTGTTGATGGGTTTAATTACATGTGACCGCGTCGCATGGTTAATTTGCGAGTGGGGTAATAGATGCATCTATGGTTCGTGCCGCTCGACCCTCGACAGTGCACAATTTACTTTATGTTGGATCGGGTCGTACAACCTCGACACTATTTGCGCCTGCTTTACCCAGTAATTTCTATGATTGAGATCATTAATTGTCCCGAAATGAAAGTTGCTAGTGGTGACATTACTTAGGAGAGAACGTGTTAGTTCTTGCTATATACTGCTATTTGATTGCTTTTATCCATGCACGGTATAATTTATATCTCATATTATTTGACCGTAGTAAGTGTCAAGTCGACTTCTCGTCTCTACTTCTTCGATATTAGACAGGATATTTACTGGGTACATATTGTTTATGTACTCATACTACGCTTCTGTACTTAATTGTACAGGGTCTGAGGTAGGTACATCTGGCTATCAGTCTGGTGCGTATCATTGAGCCTATCCCGATACTTCCACGGTAAGCTGCTCCCCTCCTGTGCCGTTCAACTGCTTGATGGAGTTTCTCTAATTTATTTTTGCTGTCTATTCTATTTTGGACAGTAGGATAGGGTTGTACTTTTGTATATTCTACTAGTTGCCCATAAGTTGTGACACCAGGTCTTGGCACACACTTTAATAGACTATTCTTTTGGAAAATTGTAGAATTATTTTGGGTACCTTACTGGTTATTACTTGCTTTTAACCTTAATTTAAGAGATTTCTGAAATTAATTGGTAAAGGTAAAATGTGAACTCATTTATATTTCCATGTTGGCTTGCCCGACAATGGTGTTGGGCGCCATCATGACCTATTATGAAAATGGGTTGTGACAGTTACCAACTTTATCTTCTGGATTATACTATTCAAAAATTAGTACAATTAAAGCACACTCTATCGTAATCCAGAAGTTTACGGATTCAAATACTTTTGTGCTTTGGCATGGCCGTTTGGGCCATCCCGGATCAATAATGATGAGACGAATTACTGAAAATTCGAGTGGACATCCATTAAAGAAACATAAGATTCTTACAAATGATGAATTTTCTTGTGATGCTTGTTATCAAGGCAAAATGATCACTAGACCATCACCAATGAAGGTTGGCATTGAATCCCCTGCCTTTTTAGAGCGTATACATGGGGATATATGTCGGCCTATTCACCCACCAAGTGGGTTGTTTAGATATTCTATGGTCCTAATAGATGCATCTTCAAAATGGTCTCATGTGTGCCTACTATCATCTCGAAACCTGGCGTTTGCAAAGCTATTAGCCCAAATAATTCGATTAAGAGCACAATTCCCAGATTATCCTATAAAGGCTATTCGCCTTGATAATGCTAGAGAATTCTCATCTCAAGCTTTTGATAATTATTGTCTATCAGTTGGGATAAACGTTGAACATCATGTAGCTTATTTTCATACTCAAAATGGCCTTACAGAGTCATTTATTATGGCCTTGCCCACTACTGTTTGGGGCCATGCTATCTTGCATGCAGCATCACTTATCCATCCCAGACCGACACATTATAATAAATATTCTCCGCCACAATTGGTTTTTGGTCATGAACCAAATATTGCCCATCTACAAGTTTTTGGATGTGCTGTATATGTGCCAGTAGCACCACCACAACGTAGTAAGATGGGACCATAGAGAAGTATAGGAATATATGTTGGGTTTGAATCACCCTCTATTATTCGCTATCTTGAACCATTGACAGGAGATTTATTTACAGCTCGATTTGTAAATTGTTGGTTTGATGAAACAATTTTCCCACGATTAGGGGGAGAGAAAAAGGAAATCAAAAGAGAAATTTTTTTGAAAGTTTCATCATTATCTCACTTTGATCCACGTACCCCTATATGTAATCAGAAGGTCTAGAAGATCATCTATTTACAGAATACAGCAAATCAAATGTCAGACGCATTTACCGATTTAAAAAGGATAACGAAGTCACATATCCCTACAGAGAATGTGCCTATCCGAATTGATGTCCCAGTAGGACCATCTACTAGCATGATAGCTAGTGAACTTAAAGCACGCCTGAAGCGTGGTAGGCCTTTGGGTTATAAGGATCGAAATCCTGAAAAAAGAAAATCGACAAATGATCAAAATGATACTATGAAGGGATTTTCTGAAGAGACTCATGATTCCTGAAGAAATCAATGAACGTGAATCTCAAGTGAGTAAGGAACTTTTAATAAGTTCTACCAGTGATGGGATTAATTTAAATCGATCTGAAATAGTGGTGGATAATATTTTTGCATATAATGTCGCACTTAATATTATGCAAGATAGTGAGGATCTTGAACCCCGATCTGTCGAAGAATGTCGACAAAGATCCGATTGGCCAAAATGACAAGAGGCAATTCAATCGGAATTGAAGTCACTTGCTAAAAGAGAGGTCTTTGGACCAGTAGTCCAAACACCTCCTGGTATAAAGTCAGTTGGTCATAAGTGGGTTTTT